TTATGACGATTCATGGTGAAAGTCGAGTACCTTCGGAAGCCACGAGGTCGATACCCCTTCTAACAATTAGAGCAAAAATTTTCGTAGGTACATGGAACGTTCGAACAGTGTGGGAGGCCGTGAAGGCCAGTCAAATAGCAACGGAAATGAGGAGATACAATTAGGCAATACTGGGAATCAGCGAAACCCACTGGACTCAAGCTGGACAGAAAAGGCTAGCTACGGGAGAGATGCTGCTATACTCCGGTCACAAAAAGGGAAATGCTCCACACACTGAGGGAGTCGCTCTAATGCTGTCCAAAGTAGCACGAAATGCACTTGTAGCATGGGAATCTCACGGATCCAGAATCATCAAACCATCGTTCAAAACAAAGAAGGAGGGGATCACAATGAATATTACCCAATGTTATGCACCCACCAATGATAGCAACGACGACATTAAAGATCAATTCTACGAGCGGCTGCAGTCAATCATAGAGAAGTGCCCAAGAAAGGACCTCACCATTCTGATGGGAGATCTAAATGCCAAAGTCGCAATGGACAACACCGGATATGAAGATATTATGGGACGACATGGACTGAGACAGAGAAACGAAAATGCAGAAAGATTTGCAAATCTATGTGCATTCAACAAACTGGTCATAGGGGGCACAATATTTCAACACAAGCGTATACACAAGGCTACATGGATCTCACCGGACCACACTACAGAGAACCAGATAGATCATATTTGCATCAACAAAAAATTCCGAAGGACAGTGGAAGATGTGAGAACCAGGAGAGGCGCTGACGTAGCTTCAGATCACCACCTAGTTGTGGCCAATTTAAAACTGAAGCTTAAAAAGAACTGGACAAGTGGACAAACAGCACTACAAAGGTTCAATACAGCCTTCCTTCGAGATACTGACAGACTCAATGAATTCAAGATAGCTCTCAACAACAGGTTCCAAGCCTTACAAGATCTACTGAAAGAAGAAGAAACTAGTATGGAGGACAACTGGAAAGGCATCAAGGAAGCACTAACTTCAACGTGTCAAGAGGTTCTGGGTCTAAAGAAATACCATCATAAGGAATGGATCTCTATAGAAACTCTGGAAAAGATCAAAGAAAGGAAGAACAAGAAGGCAGCAATTAACAACAACCGAACACGAGCAGAGAAAGTCCAAGCACAAGCTGAATACACAGAAGCAAACAAGCAAATGAAGAGGAGCATTAGGGGCGACAAGAAGAAGTACGTGGAAGAACTAGCAACGACGGCGGAAAAAGCTGCTATAGAAGGAAATATGAAACAGCTTTACGATACAACGAAGAAACTATCAGGGAAATACAGTAAACCAGAGAGACCGGTCAAAGACAAATAAGGCAAGCCAATCACTGAAATTCAACAACAGCGGAACAGCTGGGTAGAATACTTCGAGGAACTCCTGAATAGGCCGGCTCCAATGAATCCACTGGACATCGAAGCGGCACACACAGATCTTCCCATAGACGTCAACCCACCAACGAAGGAAGAAATCAAAATGGCTGTCAGACAAATCAAGAACGGGAAAGCAGCGGGTTCGGACAACATACCAGCTGAAGCACTGAAGTCAAACACCGAAGCAACTACAAACATGTTTCACCTTCTATACAAAAAGATTTGGAAGGAGGAGCAAGTGCCAATGGACTGTAAAAGAATAACACCTCATCAAGATTCCAAAGAAAGGAGATCTGAGCAAATGTGAAAACTACAGAGGAATCACACTATTGTCAATTCCAGGCAAAGTTTTTAACAGAGTGTTGCTGAACCGGATGAAAGATGCAGTAGACGCCCAACTTCGAGATCAACAAGCTGGATTCCGTAAGGGTCGGTCGTGCGCAGACCAAATTGCAACACTACGGATCATCGTCGAACAACCAGTTGAGTGGAACTCGTCACTATACATCAACTTCATTGATTATGAAAAGGCATTTGACAGTGTGGATAGGAGGACGTTATGGAAACTTCTAAGACACTACGGAGTTCCTGAGAATATTGTCAATATTATCCGGAACTCATACGACGAACTACAATCCAAAGTCGTGCATGGAGGACAGCTGACAGATGCATTCCAAGTAAGGACCGGAGTCAGACAAGGCTGTTTACTCTCTCCCTTCCTCTTTCTTCTGGTGATCGACTGGATTATGAGGACCTCGACATCTGAAGGAAAACACGGAATACAATGGACAGCTCGAAATCAATTAGACGATTTGGACTTCGCAGATGACCTAGCCCTCCTATCGCATACACACGAACAGATGCAGACAAAGACAGCCAGTGAGGCAGCAGTCTCTGCATCAGTAGGCCTCAGCATACACAAAGAGAAAACCAGGGTCCTCAAATTCAAGGCGGAGAACAGCAATCCAATCACTCTTGATGGCGAAACTCTGGAAGATGTAGAATCCTTCACATATCTAGGAAACATCATCGATGAACAAGGTGGTTCAGATGCAGACGTAAAGGCAAGGATTGGCAAAGCAAGGGCCGCATTCCTACAATTGAAGAACATATGGAACTCAAAACAACTTTCAACCAATATCAAAGTGAAAATCTTCAATACCAACGTCAAGGCAATTCTACTGTATGGAGCTGAAACTTGGAGAACTACAACAACCACCATCAAGAAGGTACGAGTATTTATAAATAGCTGTCTTCGCAAGATACCCAACATCCATTGGCCGGATACCATCAGCAACAGCCTTTTTTGGGAGAGTACAAATCAGCTCCCAGCTGAAGAAGAAATTAGGAAAAGACGATTGAAATAGATAGGACATACATTACGCAAACCATCAAACTGCATCACGAGACAAGCCCTAACTTGGAATCCTGAAGGAAAACGAAGAAGAGGAAGGCCTAAGAGCACGTTACGTCGGATAATAGAAGCAGATATGAAAAGGATGAATAGGAAATGGATGGAGCTGGAAAGGATTGCCCAGGACAGGGTTGGATGGAGAATGCTGGTGAGCGGCCTATGCTCCTTCACGAGGAGTAACAGACGTAAGTAAGTAAGTAGGTGTCTTTCTCTATCGCTTAGTTTACCTACTTGAGCATTAAAGTCACTGGCCACTATTACTACATCCGAGTGCCTAGCTTTTCGAAGAAAGTCGGAGAGCTTTCTGTAAAACTCATCTTTTACATCATCTGCGCTTCAGTCAGTGGGAGAATAGGCAGAGACGACGAAGAAGCAACGACGAGTGCCCCTACCTTTTCGGATCCTTACTGTTCCTTTCAGTCGTACAGCGCACAAGAGAGCTAGTTCTGCCCTAGGACTCAATGCTATACCTACGCCGGCGAGACCACGGGAAGCAGAATCAGGGCTTCCAGATACATGACGTGTGAATCTTTATTTTGGCATGGTGAAGTCAAATGAATGACGCTACTCGGATCCTGTATGCGCGTTTCGGAGACGCAGCACACATCGATGGCGCGGGATTCTAAAGTCCTAGCTAAGGAAGCTTGCTGTCCTATTTGGCACAGTTTTCGGACGTTAAAACCTCCTACGTGTAGTTTCGAGCGTGGTTTCAGGATTCTAGGAATGGCGTTCCGCGTACTCCAAGTTTTCCCCAGCGGTGCAAGGTGATAAAGAGACGTGAGGAGGGTTAGTCATGGAGATAAGAAAGGTATCAGGTGTAGGAAGGATTTGAATGTGACCGACTTGGCCTCATGTGCTTTTACGGGTATGAGGGCTGATATCACTTCCCGGCTGCCCACATCGGGGAGCGAAACCGCAGAGTTCAAGGGACAACTGCATTAGGCCGGTCGCGCATGACCATTTTGTGGATTTTTTAATGTTAGCTCCGTTCTTAAAAGGGCCTTACCGCCGGGGACGGAAATTCGTGAGGTAAAGTGAGGTGTGATATTTTTAGGGTCGACCTTTTCTAACCCCACCCCTCCTTGTGGGAAGGCAGCATCGTTGCAGATGCTGGTTGTCTGAGGGAAACACATTACTGCTGTCACACCCCTCTACAGTCAGCAGTACGACTTCACCCTCAGACCTTGGGTAGCTGCTTTTAGTCTTACCGTTCTCCAACCGACCTGGCTGGTATGGTAGAACCTACAGGAGCATATGTTCCAGCCAATATGGCTCGGTTGGGTCATCACGATAGGCGAACCCGACCACCGCGTCAAGGTAGCAGCTTCGATCGGGCGTATACGTATTTGAAGTCGATAAGTGTACCCCTTAGAAGATTAGTATTTGAAAAGTTAAATGAGTGTAGTTCCTTAGGAGGATATCAACGACACAGTTGGTTAGAACTGGAAGATGGTGTACAACCCTGACAGACGCCACTTCATATTGACAGTTCCTTATAAGCTCTGATTCTGCCAATGGCGTTTTAGTTAGAGGACCGCCGCAACATTTATTTACTTCTTTGGTACGCCTTCCAATGACGAAAGTTGTCAGAAATCGCCCCGGTCAACGGAGTCGAGCATCGGTATGTCTGTCCTGAAATCGGGTGAATAATTAGTCGGTCCCACTGACGGCTGATCTTTTAACACTTGGTTCGTTGATGAGTTGAAATAATTGTTAAGTTTTATCATTCCCTAGTTCATTTTCCATCCCTCTCTTCCAATGACCACCACTGTTCACCATGCCAGCCTATGTTTAAGTTCGCTGCTAGCCTGTCAGAATCAGTTTCCGAGTAATTTGGTGCGATTAGAGCTTTTGAAAGCCAATGGTTTTTCTTGACCTTCTGGTTAAGGTTAGTGGCAGATATAACTGTTGTATTTACAGCCACACGGATATCTCTAGTTTCTTCGGAATAGAGGCAATTTCTAAGATGGACCAAGTGGATGATCATGTTTGAGTTCCGTCTGCATTTTAAAAAGGGTGCATCGATGCATGAAATTCTACGATCTCAGCTAGTAGGGATTTTTACCTCACTTGATATAGGGTTCGTAATTCAGAAATTCCAATGTATATTTCTAATCTTGGAATGTGTCCTGAGCTCTAAGCTTTCTACTTACAAGGGGCAAATTCAAGTTGAAGGATTCATTCATATGCTTGTATTTGAAAATATATACATTCACAAAATATAATATGTGAGGGATTTTTATGTGAAATTCGTTGTTGACATTACTATGCGTGTTGTTATTCAAGGTGATGTTTTCTTCATTTTCGGTCTCGACTTTGGACCCCAATTTTTTTCAGGATTTATCTGATATCTGTCAAGAAAACAAAGATTAGAATGAATGAAGTACTTTTTAGTATCATATTTTAAAACAAAACTGGTGATTTTTTTATCAATTTGGAAAAAGTAACTTATTTTTGTATGCATTTAAACACTTCCTGGTCGTCTCTATATTTGTCTACTAATTTACCTTCTTCAATTAGACCAGATATATTGATAGTAACCGAAGTTTGCTTTTAATCTGTATACAAGAGTAGGTTTCAGTAAAAATTTACGGGGACAGCTTTTAAAAGTTCAGTCTTTGAATAAATCTGTATTCTGAATTTAGGGTGTTTTATAGAGTTATGAAGTGGTGGCTTAGTGATTCAAGAGATCGATTTCCAATCACTGAACCAGTTCACATCTACATTTTGTCTAATCTTAAGTTTCTGGATTTCCCATAACTTTTTTATTTCATTGATTTTGGTTTTCTTGAATCGTAATCTTTAGTGCCTAATCCTTTCCATTGTAGTGGCTTTGCCGCGTTAATCAATCACCTCGATCACCGTTATAATATAAATCTTAACAGTTTGAAATCAAAAGGCAATGAGAAGCGGCAACTACAGTTTATTTGCGGATAGCGCAGATTACAAAGCTATAAGCGCATCGAGCGAATTTGAAGCAGAGAGGTGAATATATGTATATATGAGCAAATACATAAGCAAATTTATAGTCAAATCGCATAAGTGCACAGGAGAATCTAATAATAGGATTCGAGTACATAAATATATGAGGAAGAGAACGAATAATCGAGGGATATTTAAGCAATCAACATTTTAGCTAGTCTTTCATGTCTAGTGACCGTAACAGTATAAAGAAATAGACGGATTGTTACTATTCGAATAACATTGTTTGTTAAGTTAATAAAACGGATTAACCAAAATTAACCATAATCGGAACTGATTGTAGGATAGTTGCTATATTATTACCACCAGTACTGTTACTACCTCCACCATGGGATTCGCCCTAACAATTTAATCTTGGTGTGCTAATGGGGTATGGCAACTTGAAACGATCTGAACACACATTAGGTCTGACGTTGAATTTGGCTGAGTGACTGCCACCTGCACTAAGACTAGAACTCAGAAATTAAGTGTTGACTAATGCTGGGATAGGTTAAAACAATGATGCTCATCAAAGATCTCAGTTCTATTTACTTGAGTTTTGCACTCGACAAGTCGATTATTTTATAATTTCAGAGTAACTTTCATTGAAAAGTTATCCGGTTTTTACAATTTCGTATCAATTACAACTAATACAGTTCCAAAAACTTGAAATACTTGTCCATTTTTAATTACTTGTTCCGATCTACCGTGGTGTACGTTTACCTTATACAAAACTAGCAACTATTCAATATCGACAGATTTTTAAAAAAGTACTTCACTTACCTAACTAGACCATCATTTTTTGATGGAGGTTCAGCAAGTGGATGACGAGTGAAAGATACTGATGGATTAATTGGTCTGGTTCGTAAGCTGATGCGTACTGTTTGACTATGTGAAACATTAATACCCGATTCAATATTTGTCTCTTCCATGTTCGATGAGATTTTCAAGTTACCATCAGCATGCTTCTTTCTTCTGAAGCGTCTTCTGCTTCGAACACTGACCTTTGGTGTTGCGTTTACTTCTGTTTCGGGATCTCCTTCATCATCATTTGATTCAAGGTCAGGTTTTTCTCTTTTACAGTTTGTTCCAGTTCTATCATAATGAGATCGAAAACAGTCGAGTACAAATGAATGCGGAGCATCTGTTTTCAGAGAATTTTTATCAGCATGCGAGCAAGAAACACGGTAGTTGGCATTCAGAAGACAAGAACTAATGAGCAGAAAAAGTCACGATATCAGTTAAGTGTTTTAAATAATTTGTGTAACAGATACTAACTGGTAGTTAAAAATGAGATGTAGACTATCCGACTATGTAACAAACGTTCAATGCTTACGTGATAGCAGTTTTCATCTATTCATGTCTATAATTTAATTCACGATTACTCGTCCTTTGAAAAACATCAGAATTATAATGGAAATTGAAGCAAGAATCTACATAAAACTGCAACTTATTCATGTTGACATTAGAGGTGTTTACTAATTCTTAGCAAAATGAGAGTATTCAAAATTAGACATCGAATCAAGGTTACAGTATAAATCGATCCAGGTGTTGATGTGAGATTGAGCGATAGTGAACAATTAACTTGATCATAGAATCCCAACGCTCTCGGAAGGTCTGATCTGCCTAGATATTTGGACAAGTCGTAAGTATTCAGTATTAAATTTTAGCGACGTTTTGTTTTTCATTGAGCGTGGGTAGCGTATACTAGTAGATGAGTCAGATCGCTAATTACATCGAAATTATAGAAAATAGAAACCCAGGTGTTGTGATCAACGTGATATCACTTTGTTACTGCTCTCTGAGTGATGCGAAGATTGACCAACCCTTCTTCTTGTGCTATATTAACACAATTTATGTAAATTTTACAGGATACATGAAATAAAGAATTTCCATTGACTTTAAGATTTTTCCTGAGGGCTTTTATCGGTTTCGTGGAAATCTGTTGGAGATGCTAAATCACTAAATATAGCATTTAAGAAGAAATCAATCTTACGATTCGTTCACTAAACTAAAATGAAATCTGTTCTTTGCTCGTCAGTGTATTCCCATTTTGTACTGATTCATATAATACGAAGTTAATTTACGGAATTTCATTGTATTAGTAAACTTACTGTTATTCAGCATTTAAGTTATACCCTGCTTAATTGGTAGTCACTGGAATTAATCGGTATATTATTACATTTGTCTTTTGAAGTAGATTGGAACAGAAGAGAATAGATGTTGTGTAGTGAACATTGGATGTGGTGTGGTGTTTCAAACAGTTGTCAAAATTAAGTGATTAACTCTGTTGTACAGACCGATTTTCATTTAGCAGGATGCAGTCATACTTCACTGTTTGATGTCTACACTTATACTCGAACTAAGTACCCACCATTTTAAATTCCAAAAACGACATAGCAGTAAGTTAGAAAAAGGCTACATGTAGCCAAATAAGGACATTGGATGGGTTAATGAAGTAATTGATTGTTGGTAGACCGTCAGGTTGAAGTCTGTGGGATTATAGCGACTGGTAATTGGGAATGCTCTGTGATATGACTAAGAATTGGTCACTACGACATAAATAAATTCACTGTCTGCTCCTAGATCTTGAGTTCTAAATTCACTTTGCACATCTTATTTCGTGATCTCATTCTTTCTTCTTAAATCCTATTCTCTACATCTAATCATTTTTACTTATTATCACTACTTCTGTATTCATCTTGATTATTTTATATCATGCTAAGAACTTGAGACAGTGCGTATTTCTGTCACGTTTTATATTGCTTGTGACTGACTGAAGTATCAAAGAATTATCCACTAAGCTACTAATGAGTAACGATGAGTAACATCTTATGAATGCCTATAAGCTTCTACAAGTTTTTTGCAACAGATTTAATGTCTTAATAAACAAAATGTTCTTAGTGTTATTCTCCAAATAACTGACTACCTATGTTTTCAATGCGCTTTAAAAATGAATTCTGTTTTATTTATGGCCAATTAGGGCTATATTTAATGAACAGAAGGGGTTAGATAGACATGATATTAATCCCAACTTAGAAATCAATACAATTGTGAATAGAGGAAAAAATGAGGGCATTAGAATTATCCTTCAAAGCTAGAAGGGAAACATTTTTTAAACACATACCTACACTACTTGGTAAAGAAACTTTTATTAATCAAACAAAAAATAGAAATAAAAAAGCCCACTTACTATAAGTCTGGTTGTTTAGGCATGGTACAACCAAAAACTGATGCTAATTGATCAATTATGTAATATAAAGGAACATCTGGAAGTTCTTCATACGCCACAGTAACCATACCGATGATACGTTTAAATGTGCGGTAATTATTATTCGTTAGACTATGAGTTGATACCTCAACTTTTGATTCACTTGATCCAGTACCTGGATGGATAGAATATCAAAAATTGTTATTAGAGAGTGTCAATGAATAATTATCACTGAAGAAAATGTCAGGCAAACAAACAAGTGTAGTAAAACTTCTTGAAAAGTACGTAGGTTTCAAGTGTAGAGCAAAGAGATGTTCATCAATCCTGCTTACATGGTAGCTTAGTGGTTAAGGGATTTGGCTTACAACCACTAAATTCCAGGTTTGAACCCCACTTTGGTTTGAGCAACCGGATAGTATCACTGGGCCTCACACTTGGACAGTGGCTTATACCCAAGTACCTGGTGAAAAAGTTAATTAAATCATTAAACCACCTCCTACTTTGAACTTTAATTTTGGCTGAAGTAAAAGTTGGAAGAAAACTAGAGATAACCGACTGAAAAGATGACATCACTCCGTGAAATCGATGACTGCTAGTTTGAGCCATGTTCGTAGTTGTAGATGTGTATGAAGTCGTCGTAAAGAAAATCCTTTCCACTGAATTATCTTCATTCCTCCCAAAATGACCGATTGGATCTCCTTCGTTATTAATACAATTTATTAAAATGAGAAAGATCAAAATACTCTACATAACCAGTACTGTTTTCCCCCATGGAGCTAATATTTTCAGACCAATAATAAACACATAATATAATTATTACCACTAGAAAAAGCATTTTGTGAAGTAAACCAGAGAAAATTAAGGAGAAACCATTCAAGTCTTTACAATCGGATTGGTTATTAATCACCTACAGACAATTATATATTTACCCATGTTCTTTATTATTCACCATTTAACAGAGTTATTCTAATGAATGTATGCCAATAAGCGCAGTTATATGCACAAAACATATGAAGCTTTATATGATAGTTAGTTACTCACACCCCACATGTATGAGATTGTAATACAGCATTATCACATTGGAATCAGCAACAGCACGACAGTCCGTTCTGTCTTACTTTACGGCAGCGAAACATGGCCTTTAAGAGTAGAAGACACCCGTAAGCTACTAGTAATTGACCACAGATGCCTTAGAAATATTGCTGGCGTCTGCTGGGATAACCGGGTAAGTAATAGTGAGGTTAGACACAGGGTATTAGGAAATGATGGTAAATCAATTGATGAGGTTGTGAATCATCATCGACTGAGATGGTTGGGCCACGTGTTACGTATGCCTGAACACCGATTACCACGTCGTGCAATGCTAACGGGTGTTAGAGATGGTTGGAAGAGAATTAGGGGCGGCCAAACCAAAACGTGGCACCAGTGTTTGAAGACACTAACCTCTAGTCTGAGCCATGTTGGTAGATGCAGACTACTTGGTTGGGGTCCGCGTGACTTTCGTAACCGATGGTTGGAGACTCTTGGTGACATGGCTCAGAATCGATCACAATGGCGTCGGTGTATACACTCCCTGTCTTCTCTTAAACTAAGAGATTAAAATCGCTTCATATCTTTCTTTCTACGAACTAATTCTATATTCCGGTACTGTATCCTTATATGCAATCTTTCTCCTATATATTACCACCTTTAACCTAACCACTCCTATGAATCCGATGTTCAACTTGCTGTGCTAATGAGGTATGGCAACCTGGACCGATGCATATATGTGCCTGGTCCTACGTTGTAGCTAACTGATTGACTGATATTTCAACAACTGGAATAAATAAGATGCACTGGATATTATTCGGACTAAATTATTTTATTTTCAACGCTTAATTACGAAAAGTTTAGTGTCTCGGCTACGAAAAATACTTGTTGAGATATTAGCGATTTACTTACACTTCTAATTTATTTGTTTAATAAACATTAGACTTTTCAGTATATCACCAGTTTAAACAATAGTCCACTCTGTCATTTCAAGACTCGTTTTGAAGAAAAACTTTCGAAAGAATTTTAACCTATTTAGTCAGCTTAACTAAAAATAAGGACGATTAAAGGACCATCCCGCCTTTCTATGGAGTAACAACTCATACTGTCATCCCAATCTAGAGATAGAAATATAATGTCAGTGGCTTAAACATTTAATTCTTAGTCATTTGATTTTACGTTTGATCTTCGCTCTAGCTACACTGGTTAGGTACTGTGTTCACTCGAAACCAATCTTTAGACACTTTAAACCTTCTGTGCCTCTTTGATTGATCTCACTTCATCGAAGAAACCAACTAAATCCCTTCCTTTTACCATTCCTCGGTATGTAATAACCAACTGTAGCATTCTAAAACCAATAACATTCGACGAAACTGGCAATACAACACTAATTTCTACGGAAAACGAACACAATACCAACATACTTGTATCCGATTGTGTTGAAGATGAGTGATTTTCACCGTTCAAACAACTTGATATACCATTGTTGACGTTTTTGGGAGGGTAACCTAAATCCGAGAGAAACTCATGTAGGAATGTACGACTATGTAAAGGTCCAATCCAAATAGGACCAAACACATGAAATTTCGAACCGCATTCTATACATTGAGGTCCTATAGGTGGGCCAAGAGCTGGGGCAACTGCTTTATTAGTATTAACTGCTTCTCCAAGAGGTTGTATATGATAGGCCTAAAAACAATAAAAGGTAAACAAAAGTACAGTACATTGTTCGGATGAAAATATTTACAAATTATTTGACTTACTGTAAATTATACTACACAAGTTTAATAATTGTTTTTGTCTTTTATTTCCGTTAATGATAGGGGGGTTAATGACCAACTTTCAAATACTGTGATAACAAAATTAAGCAATTGCTTTTAGGATAGGAAATATTTAAAAGTTCCTTGAGTTTAGGATAGTCTACCTGACAAATCAGCTTTATTCAAATAGCTATTGAAAATCAGGGGCTACTGGACAGCTATATTGTCCTCAGCGGTATGCATCTACGCACCCTTCGTCAGTGATTTAATCAACACTACGTGTCTCGATATTGGGTTATTAGGTTCAATCCTTAGTATTAACAATGAGTAACACAAACTCCAACAATCATCTTTCACGTTTTTGCTATAAGTCTTATTTTGTAGATTATCTTAGGCACGTATTCCTTCATATACTTTATCTTCCAGATAATCATCAAATGAACACACTCTCATATCTCGCTTCCATACATTATTTTTATTCTTATTATCCTCCAACTTTAAATTCTGACCACCTTTAATGCCTCTGTTAATGACGCGGAAACTTTTATAATAGACCCTTATATGTAAAAAAAAACAACCGTAAATAGGACTATGTAGCTTTAGTGACATCGTCCAAAAGGAAATTTTCTGTCTCGAAACATCATTCTTTTTTCTTTCATTATCGTATATCTGACTATCCATAAGTGATCTTAAAATCTTAGATTATCCGAGATATTTCCGATAATCCAACGGACAAAATTACAATTCCAGACTACTAAACAGTTATTATTAATAATGAAACAAGATTTGGACGAAATGAAATATTCATAGTTGTAGAAATATTACTCACTAAGCATCCACGGCAAATATAACAAATACCATGTTTAGCTGCAATAGCTTTTACAGATAACGGACTAGACCAAACACGTACAAATACACGAATATAAAAATCCACTGACAACGATAACAAAGGTTCAATAACTTTACCATGCTGACTTGCAGCCAACTGCATAGCATTTAAAAGTATTCGTAATCCCTAAACCAAAAAAGCAATATCGATTACTAAACATGGTTATTATGATGAATGACATTTTTAACTTGGTTTTATGAATATGGAGATACAATTTGTTTTAAAATGGAAAAGTTAAACCCTGAATCATCTGCAATTCTAGAATAAAACTCATGGACGTAGATTCTGACTTTTAAGAAAAGGAGATCCTAAGAAATGGAATAGGAGTTTTATGATACGCAAAAGACGGATAAATTAAGACATCATAACTTCCATCACATTCTGAAACCTAGATATTTAAATACGTCGAAGTGCGGTATAGATATGTTGGACTTATTTGACCTCTAAGGATTTCTAGGGGAATCGTAAACAATGGAAACGGAGGAGGGATATATGTATTGCCGAGAAAGGGAAGTACTTTGAAAGATATAACGTTGATGTGTCCTAAGTCGTGTGGTCTTATGACCTCAGTTTGCGTATTTATTGGAAAAACAACTACATATATCGCATAGGTGAGGTGATAAGTTGTTGGTCTGAACTCGGCAACAGCTACCTCGATATTTACAACAGAGGAGGACCACAACTCTTCACACAAACTTCATAGTTCAAAGCTGAGCACGATGTTACTTTGAAATAAATAAAACGACATTATTTTGTTACTGAGTATTTCGAAACCGATTTCAACTTATAAGACTTTTTTAAAGTCACAGCTCGAAATTCCAAAAGTCCTTATGGTTATTTTTTTAAACATATATATTGGTACAAGGAAGCACAAGATATGTATGCGCCACACAAAACAGTGAGAATGAGAAGAGAGAAAGAATGTAAGGTGCGTACGAGAAGAAAATAGAGAGGACAATAACGACCACAGATCAGTGTATGGTAGTGAAATAACAATATTAATAATGGGTGAAACGTAAAGGTACAACCAAAAATAATTTTTCCAGTTAAGGAAGTTACAACCACCTTTTATGAAGTAAAAGGTTACAGCAGGTTCGCCACTGGCTTCTATTCTGAGCCACATCTGATAACGTCTCCAGCCACTGTGTGTGCACCATCTCTCGGACTCCAGCCAGAAAGTCGACAAAGACGAACAGAAACCAGTCCTTCGCATCTTCCTTTCATACCACGACACTATGTCATACACTGACTACCTTTTCACTTTATCCAACCAGTCTCAGTGTCGGCAAATAATGCACGACGTGGAGTTTTCTGGGACGAAATTTGCTGGAAATTGCTTTCTTTTAGTAGAAACGAAGAAAACTGTGAACGGGGTGGTAATTTTCAGGCATTAATAAATGGATTTTCAGTTGGTTTTTATTCTACCTAGTTTACATTTTTGGGTGTCTTAATACTATTCCCCAACATGTTCACATCATAATTACTCAACTAAAACATCATTTTGAGTTTACTATCACTAAATTATTTGCTGGGGAATCAAAAGTATATTCATCTGCCACCTAGTGAACGAAACCTAGTCAATAGATCACTCTATGATAATATGCAAGAACCTAATAGGTCCGGCGCTTTAGCCGGGTTGGTGAACACGGAGAGTTCACCTAAGGGAGTTGAAAAGCCCTGATTCCAAACGAATGGTGCACATGGGCTTCAGTATCCTGAATGGAAAAATGGTGTATGAACCAATCGCTGGTCACCGGTTGGCGTGGGACTGCACCTCCTCACAATGCTCCACTGCCTTGTGGGTCAGACCTTTAGGTCCACGATTTAAATGAACAGTTTTTTGAGCATGTTGAGGTGTGGCTCAAACGGTGATACTGACTTTTCTAGAAAATAATAAATTATGGCTTAGTGAGTCGAAATTATCGATACTGTTATTTGATAAGACCAATGGCAGAAAACAGCTTTAATCAAATCCGAGCACTTATACACTTGTGCCAACAAGAGACTGTCAGGTTTATTGGGATGTACCCTGAGGACCTTACCGCGTATAGGTCCCGGATTTTTCGGAATAAATAACTCCTAAAAACAACTGGAAATACTCTCACTGCTTAGTGCTAAAATAAGTCTTCTGGTAGTGTAGTTGAAATGGAATAAAACATAAAACCATCAGAGAACAGAAATATTCGTTAGGAAGTGACTTGTCACTCGTTGCATACGTCATTGAGAACAGTAACCGAGAAATGAATTCAAGTGAAAGTTAGCGGAACTCAGAAAATTTGACATCATGCGCTTTACTAGATCATAGTCTGTTATTATTTTACTGTGACTAAGGATTCAGAACTTACAACTTCATGTGTGGAGCCTGTTTTAATAGCCATCCCACCATACTTTCCCATCGAAGTTCCAGGAGTGCTCCCACATAACACAGCCAAATCTGTTGAAGTGACACAGAGAAGTCCACCACTTCGTAAACACTGGACGGCCGTGTTTAAAAACGGACTTGCTGTTCCAAATGGGTCGATATCAACCACATCAAACCTAACAGGAGTCAGAAAAAGTTGGACCACATGAAATACACAAACGAGACATAATCAGACTTTTCAACAATGAGACCACTAATTCAAGGCCATTACATAAACATTACCTGATTAATTTGATTGCTTTGTAGAGTTACAGTGTATATAGTTTTATGACAAAGTACATATATGCATTCTGGATGTGGAAAACTTATATTGGTCAAGTCTCGTGAAACTTTACGTTCAGCATCCACTAGTCTCAAGTAATTAATCTTGACCACATTTTTCTTACGCATTCTAACTCTTCGATTACTGGTGTGAAATGTTAGTATCATACGTTTAATCGTTAGGGAGAGGCAACAATTAAATTACGGATTCATACATCTCAAAAATCATGTTATACATAAAACATAAATAAATTGTAATCACAACCGGACAGTGGTAATATAGCATATGACAGTGTCAATCAACTTAACTTATAACTACATCAGAGTGACGAAACTTGGCAAGACTGAAGTCATGGGAATAAGAAATAGTAATGACACTAACGATAGTATGAAAGGAATCGGTTGATGAGTAAGAAACGTGCTGGCAATCTATAAGTGACGAAATACCCCCTTTATTTATCATACCTACAGAAGACAAGTTAAGGAACTTTCTGGTACTACCAAACACTAAAGTTGATTCCGCTGGGTTTTTTTTTGGAACAATCTTGTATAATTGTGGACTATAAAAATCTTCTTTGATGGGAAATATCCAGGGATATACAACTAGAAACTAGACTAACAAGAAATACCTCACTGAACATACAACTAAATTTATTGCTTTGCTTTTGCTAATTAAGACCACATTTTCGATAAGCTTTCCGTGGATGCTCAAAATTAATTCTGATAATAAACATTGTTCGACATTCCGGATATATATAAACAAATTACTGGTAATTCTAGTTGTCATACGACCTTCCGAATTTAGGCATACGGAGATGCTTCAGCTGGTGGTTATTTGTGAACTGAATTAACACATTAGAAAAAAAACAAACTTTTCGCCAAATAACCGACGTTGATGCATAAGGTCGACAGCGTCACCGCAGACTGTACTGACAATATTCTCCACATTATTGTGAGCAACATTCTTCTGTATCAAAGCAACAGCCTCTGGACTAAGATCATTGGCAATAATACTCGATACATTTGAAACTTCGAGAGCCATTCTAACAGATCTAATTCCGGATGCTGCTAATGCCTCCAGTATCTTTAGGCCACAAGGAGAATCAGGAGTTTCTTTCGTAGTGATGCTTAATGGTCATCAAAAGGAATCATACCACTCATTTTGTCCTTCATTTTCAGAATAGCTTCTCTTCTGTGCAACTTTCCAAACTGATTTACTACAGCTATTGTAAGGTCTCTGTTAAATTCTTGTACAGGATTGTAAAACACGCCATCTGGAAGCATGACTTCCGCACAGCCTTCTTTAATAAAAGATGTGCTAGCCATACGCACGTTGCACGATATACGTTGAAAAAGACGGACTGCTTTGCGTACCAAGGTCATCAGGGCAGTAGCGCATCAACATCAGACTTAGTTACAAGGACTTCAGTTTAAAATGGCTCAAATGGGATAGAAAATGATTTTTCTTAACGGCTTTCGTATCTAATAGCAGTAGACCACCAATGCTTCGAGGTAGTAACCTAGGTATATTTAACGGTTAAAAGAAAAATATTAAATTATAGTGAAATAATATCCTGAGTCCTTAAGAATCCGTTTCATTTTGGAGAGGACAGGAGGCTACAATGCCTGTGTTAGTCATGGCAAAAGTGTTCTCTCGTTTGGTCAGATTATCTTTTGAAGTACTTGACAGATGGAGCTCCCTGATATGCGATGGTTTAAACGACTATCTACCGTCCTTAAATTTCTTCTCACCTCAACAGCATGGTTTCAGGAAGGGTTACTCTTGTATAATCAACCTGCTGACTGCGGTGGACAGATGGAAGAACATCCTCGATCACAAGGGAAAGGTTTATATCATTTACCTTGATTTCTCAAAAGCTTTTGATAAAGTTAACCACTTGTGTCTTATCAATAAGTTCAAACGACTAGGTATCAAACCACCTCTGATCGATTGGCTTACTTCATACCTAGAAAATCAACACTTTAAGGTTAGGGTTAATTTCACTTTATCTCAGGCTATGGAATGTCCTAGTGGAGTCCCCCAGGGCTCAGTATTAGGGTCTCTTCTCTTCTTGATCTACATAAACGATCTTCCTCAACAGGTAACGTCAGACTTATTACTTTTTGCCGACGACATGAAACTTTGGAGAGAGATACGCAACCAAGACGATACACAAGCACTTCAGGAGGATCTGACTCGACTTCAAAGTTGGGCAGATGATAACGGACTTACCTTTAACACTTAAAAGTGTAAAGTAGTCCATCTGCGACATGTCGCAAACTACAGTTACAACTTAGGAAACTCCTCTCTAGTAGTATCCCAAGTCGAAAAAGATTTAGGAGTCCTGGTGCCCCATGATTTAAAGTCTTACGCTAACTGTGACAAAAATGCCTTCCGAGAAAACCTTGGACTGGTAACGTTGAAGCGCATTTTTGGCCAGTTTGACGGAAGAACTTTTCATACAATCTTTAATGGTTTTATCCGTCCCCATTTAGAGTACGAAAACATAGTACTCCCCCTCCCACTCCAAAAGGACAAGGTCACTTTGGAGCGTATCCAACGGCGAGCCACGAAATCAGTTCGAGGACTCAAATCTAAGCCTTACGAAGAACGCCTCCATTCACTAGACCTTTACTCATTAGAGTATAGGCGTCTTAGAGGTGATTAATTAGTGACTTATAGTATTCTTAACACTTCTGGACATCCTCTTAAACACCTACTTAAGCTTAGTTCGAATAATAACCTAAGGGGTAACACCCAGAAACTGGAAACTCAACATAGCAAGACGGGATGTAGACACAACTCTTACTGCTTAAGAGTTGTCAAATGCTGGAATTCGCTGCCGGCCGAGCTAGTCCAAGCGACTTCTCAGGAGTCCTTCAAGAGGCAACTTGACCTATTCTTAAGGACCAAGGACAATATCATACTATGATTTACCAATTTCTTTCCCTCTTTTTTTGTTAACATACCTAGGTTCCTGCCTGAAGGATTTGGTGATCCCCTGCTACTAGACACGGAAGCCTGTTAAACGAAAGCTTCTTATATTCCATCCACAACCATTTGAACCATTTGAGCTTCAATCTCGTGTTGAGGTAATGAATCCCGTTCAATGGGAAAGTCGATCGTCGGCTAACAGGTAATTTGTTCTAATCTTATGAACTTTATCAATCCTCTTATTTGAAAGACAAGAAAAATATGGGCATATAAGATGCAAATTTATCACTAAGTAATTTAAAATCTGTAATCAAGTCGCCTCTGATTCTTTTACATGAAACTGGAAATATACTTAGTTAAGCCAGTCGAGCATCATATGAAAGCTTTGTTACTATGGGAATCGGTTTATATATATGTACAAAATTTACGCTCAAATTAATAAGGTTTATTTTTACCAAACAAAAAACTAACAAACAAATTAGAAACTGAATTTGTGTTCAAAACTGAGCTTATCAACATCGAATTATGGTCTAGTTCGGTATTAGTACATTTATCTTCGTTACCACAATAATAGACCTAACCCCTCAATTGTAGATTTATCATGACATGACTACCCAGTCTACGAGGTCTTACTTGGAAGTCAAATCACTGTCTTCACCGACTCTTCCGATGATGACCATCGGCAATATAACGTTTAGCATTTTTGAAGAACACATTGGAACTGGGAAGATAGTAATATATTTGTTCCAAAAGAAAGAAGTTATGAAGGGTGACCATGTCTACAAGACCGAGCCACACCATCTTGATTCATCCTCCCGCTCTCACCATTGTTTTCCATTTCTTTCTGTTACTTGTCGAATGTAAATCTTCTCAGTAAGTGTACTATCAGCTTCAAGGATCTTGTGGTGCAGCACTACTACAATGTTAAATTTTAAGCCACTTCCCACAACTTTATCTTATACCGTACGTTACTCGCTCTTATTGCCTTAGTGCATTGATTCCTTGCTTGGTAAAACTACTTATATTTGCTGTCGCCACAAGTTGATTTGTGTTCCGCCTAGTAGTACCTTTCAAGTCTTAACAGTCGAAGACCGTGAGTCTTTATGACTACATGTTGCGTGTAACTGTTTAGGATAGGATGTGAAATAGGTTGACGGTGTATGACTGTTTCTCCAACAAGTTGCTAACTCTACATTCTCCAATAGTCCCAGGTCCTCAATAAGGTTGAAAAACTGAGCGTCAGTAGAGTTGTCACTTCCAGTATACATGCGTCTATCAAAATTGATAAACTACTGAGTGTACACTTGATGTGCTGCCAGACAAGATAGAAGGTACAAGGCTACTCCATCCCCCCATTTTTATTATTCATCGCCTTCTGTTTGTCGTCGTTTTTACATTAAACCTCAATCCTTGGTGTATAGCGTAAGAGCCTGTGTTTGTGTTTAACAGGTCGTCTTCGTAGTGTCAATAGGGCAACGTAAAACTGATAATTTGGGTCAGAGGAGTAGCACGCCCAGTTTGGCAACTTCAAAATGACTGAATGCTCCTTTTATCTCAAGTCGTGAAGAGCATGAAATAAGTAAGATGTTCTGCCACATATCCCCTTACCACCAATATTTTGCTGGTCGGTGAGCCTATCCTTCTATCTTCATCGTTGTTATGCTCTTTCCGGAATAATGTGAGTAGTACAAGGTACTCAAACTGAACGGTGAACCAATCTCAAAGTGTGGTACAAACTTTGATTTCTTGCAATCTTCCGTCGATGCAATTTCAAAGCTTCGTAAGTAGGCAACTATTTGAAGCCAAAGATGTCAATCAGTCAGCTCTGTTGAATGCCTCGAAAACTTCTGGTAGGTTGATATACTCGGGATAGTTCTGTTCCAGTGAGATTGTCTCACTATCTCAGGAACTTAGTAATTTTCTGTTGTCGGACCTACCAGCTTTGAAAAATTGAACTTGCTGTTATATTTAAGAATAGAATTACTAACAACTGCTACTGCGTAACACAAAGAAATCGGTCTCAACTTAGGCGATTCCTCTGTCTGCGTTAAGCTTTCCACCATTGAGTTGCTCATTAGTCAACCATAGAGTGGGTAAGAGGGCAAGATTTAGGTATTCGTTAAGTTGTCTCGCAAGCCTAGATTTTCTTACACACATCTTAATGTCATTTGAAGTGTGAGATTTATTACACCAAAATTTAAGGTGTGCAACCATATCATAACCGTCCAGTGTTGTATTGGGTAAGCTGGGTTGTGCTGACGGAATTGAGTGCACTGGTGTGAGGAGTCTTGTGACTCGATTGACGCATACAGTGGTCATGTCTAGTCCTCTTAAAAGAATTTCTATTGACTTATGTTATGGCTCAGCGTAACTTCCAGGGATTTAGTTAACAGTCTAGAATTCCCATGGGCTATGATTAAACATTTAGAGTAGCCTCCGGAGGTAATAAATGAGCATGCAGAAGTATCAAATGTATTCGATAAGTATTACCTACTATACGTTCAGTGATCTGAAAGTCCTATCTAGTATTTAACGAATATTTCTTGTAGTGTAATGTTTGATCATTGTTACATTTCACTTGCAATTCTGATCCTTGTATCAAGAGATTAGAAGCTTTATATGTGCAAATGACGTTTAAAATGATCTGTCACTGCTGATACTTTGAAATGCTTGAATTCGTGGTGTACTAGGCCTGAACGTTTCACGCCGTCAGCTTCATTGCTATTTTGCATCACCGACGGCAGATATTGGACGAAGATGACTGTTCGAGGGATATCAGTTGTCACATCAGTAGGAAAATCCCTTGGGTCATTTCGGAGGGTGAAGCCACTCTAACTTGTGTTCAACCGTGTCACGTTTATGAGCCCATGGCGTAATCACATTTATCGACGACGACTCTAAACAAATCTTCATTGTTCATTTGCTAGAATTCGAAAGTAATACCAGCTGTAGCGTTAAGATTTACATTATACAAATCAGGAACTGTTCATGCTACTTTTCCTAACGTTATAGCAAACAATTTGCTAGTTTAAGGGCGATCGAGATTGTTTTTGGTACACAAAGTTCAAGCGTTGCGTCCTAACCTCGATCACGGTTATTACAATACACGGCTTCGGCACTAGAACTTATAGAATCCACAGTCGCTAGTTAAGAGGGAGAAAAAAATAAAGAGAAAAGTCTAGCGATTGTCGAAAATGTACCGAAAGACAGGTGTATTTATAGTTTTTGGCACAGACTATGACACAACTTTAATCCATCCGAAATCGCCAGTAGAAAGTTTATCCAGCCGTTCAGTCATAGGATGGAACGTTGAGATTCTGGAAACTGTTATCAGATTCTGATTGGATTAAACCTCTTACGCTCGTTTAGAGCCTCGGTAGGCTTTGTAGTGCCTTGTATGAGCCATCCTATCGATAAGCGGTATGGCGTTCGGCATTTACGTCACCCGATCTTGATCGTATGTTTGCTCCTTAATTTCACAACGCC